AGGGATGGCAGGGTCAGAAATGGTAAGCTTGTTGAGGAGAGGAGGCATGTCTGACCTCCACCTCAGCAGCCAGGTTTGGGCTGATCCTGGGTCATCGTCCCCCCTGCAGGTGGACAGGTTCTGATGTTAACACCACCACCGCCATCTTGTCCATCCCATGGTACATAAGTTCCACCTAAAAACTGTAAGCAAATAGTGACTTCTAGGTGATAATTTGCTGGAGTGTTTTAGGGTGAAATGTCCTACCATCTGAAAAATAAGATGGGTTTTGGGTGATTAGATGGATACCTATGTAATTAACAAATACAGGAAATGCGAGCACTTGAGCAGCCTGGAGCTGGGTGTATGCCCACTTTTTCACTTCTCTCTAAGTGTATTTTCTCCGTACAGTTTTGGAGAGGGGGCAAACATTTATCCAAACTTCACTGTTGACATCTGGGAAGGTTACTGTACGTGTGGTCTACCTAAAACATTTTTAAAAAAGAATGGCAATGTACAAAACGCCTCCTGATATGAACACCCCATGTGGTAGGCTGATAACAGCTCCCCAAATGTTCCCATCCTCACCCCTGGGACCAGACCTGCAGGGAGGATTACGTCCAAGGTCTCAGGTGGGAGATGGTGGCAGATTACCTGGGTGGCCCAGTGTAACCACAGGCTCTTCACAAGTGAGAGGGGACGGACGGTCAGAGTTGGGGGAAGAAGACAAGGCAGGACACATGGGCAAGGGTTCTGGCCAGCGCCCTTCCTGCCGCCAGGCTGCAGCCAGCTCTCCCACAGAAGGCAAGGACTCCACTACTTAACCACCACTGCCCTGCAGCCGACCATGCACACAACCAGCCGGCACATTTTCATGGTGTTTCTCATGAACTATCCTCGTGGATGTGGAACAAGGGATATCATAGCTGATATCAGATGGGTCATGGCTGAAAGCAAAGAACCAGAAAGATGTTTACTTGTGTTTTATTGACTATGCAAAAGCATTCAATTGTATGGATCATGACAAATTATGGAAAATATGGAGAAGAATGGGAATTCCAGAACACTTAATTGTGCTCATGAGGAACCTGTACATAGACCAGGAGGCTGTCGTTCAAACAGAACAAAGGGATACTACATGGTTTAAAAACAAGAAGGGAGTGTGTCAGGGTTCTGTCCTTTCACCATATTTATTCAATCTGTATGTTGAGCAAATAATCCAACAAGCTGGACTACACAAAGAAGAATGTGGCATCAGGATTGGAGGAAGGCTCATTAACAACTTGAGATATGCAGATGACACAACTTTGCTTGCTGAAAGTGAGGATGACTTGAGGCACTTACTGATGAAGATTAAAGACTACAGTCAGCAGTATGGATTACACCTCAATATAAAGAAAACAAAAATCCTTGCAACTGGCCCAATAAACAGCTTCACAGTGGTTGGTGAAAAGATTGAAGTTGTCAAGGATTTCATATTACTTGGTTCCACAATCAACACCACTGGAAGCAGAAGTCAGGACATCAGATGACGTATTGCATTGGGCAAATCTGCTGCAAAAGACCTCTTTCAAATGCTGAAGAGCAAAGATGTCTCCTTGAAGACTAAGGTGTGCCTAACTCAAGCCATGGCATTTTCAGTCACCTCATATGCATGTGAGAGCTGGACAATGAATAAGGAAGACCGAAGAAGAGTTGATGCTTTTGAGTTGTGGTGTTGGGGAAGAATGCTAAGAGTACTATGGTCTGCTACAAGGACTAACAAATCTGTCCTGGAGGAAGTGCAGGCAGAATGCACCTTGGAAGCAAGAATGGCCAGACTTTGTCTCACCTACTTTGGTCATGTTGTCAGAAGGGACCATTCCCTAGAGAAGGATGTCATGCTTGGTAAAGTGGAGAGTCGATGAAGGAGGGGAAGGCCCTCAACAAGATGGATTGACACAGTGGCTGCAATGATGAGTTCTGGTATAGCAAGGATCGTGGGGCTGGCACAGGACTGGGCAGTGTTTCGTTCTGATGTACATGAAGTCGCCATGAATCAGGGACGACTCAATGGCACCTAACAATGACAACAACAACATCACACAAACGAACTGCTTGCCGTAACTCAGACATGATGTCCAAGGAAGATGCTGCTTGGGGGTTAGGACATTTGGTGCTTTGTTCGGAAAACCACTCTAAAAGCTAACGGCCCAGAGTCACTGCAGGGAGGGCACAGAGGGACAGAGCAAGCAGCTGGCCCTTGCCACAGGATTCAGGGTCTGCACAGTTGACAAGGCCCCTGGGTAGTAGGCAGTACCCTACTGCCAACTTCCTTCAGAACAGGGTTTTCTCTCTTTTGCCTACAAACAGGATACGAATAAAAAGTTCTAAGATGTCTTAGACCCTCATTGACAACAAACCCCATTACTGACCTCAGTCCACAAGGCCATACCCCAGCCTGCTGGCCAGTGCGAGTGAAGCCTGGGGCTGCTGCTGCCATCAGACTGGTAGGAACTACCCCACGCTCAAGCCCACAGTCTTGCTCCTTTTCTTAGCAACTCAGCTATGTCTCACAGATGAGGTCCACGGTCGCCTTGGAAACCCAAAGGATTTAAGACTTTACAAAGTGCAGGGCTTAAATCACTTGTTTGATTCTAAAAACGCCTTCCACTCGACTACTGTGTTTCAACATGGAACCTGCCAGCCTGGGGGCCACTGTTTTTCAGTCAGCCAACCTCACAAGACAGACGTGAAGGTGCCCAAGCCACCACCTCTAGCACTGTGAGCACCAGGTGAGGTAATGGAATGTGTGGCAAGTTGTCCCTTGATAAGTGAGAGAAGGTGCCAGTCCCTGGCAACAGGTCCCTCTTGTCCCCTCTATACACTTGGAACATTCCACATGCAAAGCTTGTCCTTACTCAGTCGCATTACTGATGCTTCTTGAGTTTTAATCAGAGATGGTGACACACATAAGCAGTTGGAAAGGTCACCAGCCCTCACCTGACACCTGCGTGTCTCCTCAGACACACCTGTGCATTCTCCTCACAGACACACCTACGTACCTCCCCCTCACAGACACACCTATGCCCTTACCTTCAGACACACCTGTCCACTTGCCCTCACAGACACACCTGTGCACCTCCCCCCTCACAGACACACCTATGCTCTTACCCTCAGGGACACCTGTGTACTCACCCCCTCACAGACATACCTATGCACTTACCCCAATGGACACCTGTGCACTTGCCCTCAGACACACCTGTGTGCCTCCCTGTGGACACCTATGAATCTCTCCTTGCAGACACAGGTGAAACTCCTATCACAGACACACCTGCTCCCCCTCCTCACAGACACCTGTATGAGGACAGAAGCCAGCACCCTCACCTGCCTCGGGGATGGTGGAGGATAAGTGCAACCCTGCCTTATGAGCCAGGGAAGCCGCCCTTCGGAAAGGGCCCAATACTCCCACGTTCACACCCACCTGCTCAGCATCAGGTGTGCACCAGTATCAGCAAATCAACTTCCGGTTACCAGTCTGGGAGGCAGAGGCAGAGGCAGAAATCGTTCCAAAGCATTGGGACCAGCTTCAGGCCATGACGAGAGCCATCCTGAAACTGGTCCAGGGGTGGCATGGAGTCTGAGGGGGTCACACAAAGGTCCCCACGAGGTACAACAACTCCAAGAAACAAGCATAGCGTCTTTTAGCCTGAAGTACACTGACCTCCCTCCTCAGTAAACGTACAGAGGGCTCAGGGCGCCCGGGAGCTGTGGGGGCACCCACGACCTCTATGTCCCCATCAGTTGTATCTGGAGCACAGGCACAAGGGACAGTCTCAACACTTACTTGGTGGCAACAGAGAAGCAAGAGGTGGTGGCAGAGATTTGGGCAGTGAGGGCTACATGCTGGTGACAGGCCCCTCCTCCCTGCCTTCCATCACTTGCTTTGGTATTTCCTAAATTTTACTTCTTAAAACTTTAATTTAAAATTTTTTTAAATGAAGTTACCAAACTCAAGTGCTTATAAGTTTCTCAAATGGAAAGCAAAACTAATTCTGCAGACAAGCTCCCAGGCCCTGAGGCTCCCCACGACCCCAGTCTCCTTCACCCCCACACACAGGCCCTGATGCTTCCCCCTATGACCCCAGTCTCCCTGACCCCACACAGAGGCCCTGAGGCTCCCCCCCACCCCAGTCTCCCTCACCCCCAGGCAGAGTAGACCCTGCATGGCCTTCCAGGCCTGGAGGCTTCCCACCATGACCCCAGTCTCCCTCACCCCCACACAGAGGCCCCGACACCCCAATCAACCCGTCTCCCTGACCCCCACACAGAGGCCCTGAGGCTCCCCCAACCCCAGTCTCCCTCACCCCCCCATCCTCCCACCACCCTTTTGCTCCCACCTCATACTCTTTCCCACACCTTCATCTGCATCCCACCATACTTCCCCACCCCTCATAGCCCGGTCCCCCTAAAACTCCCACTCTCCCCTGTCCAACTTTTCTTCTCCCACCCCAGTTACCCACATCTTCACCCCCCAACACCAGCTCTCATCCCCCACCCTCATGCCCTCCCCCCATCCCCCTTGCCCTCCCCCCGGCCCTTCCCCTTTGCCCCCTCCCTTACCCACACTCTCACCTTCCACCCCATGCCCCTCACTCTCCCACACCTTCCCTGTCCTCCCACCCTCGGCCCCCATCCCATCCCCACCCCCTCGCTGTCCGTCTGCAGGGGCTGCAGAAGCTCTTTCCAGTGTCACCCACAGTTCCTCCCCAGACCCTCGCCTCTGGGGAGCCCCACCTGGTGACCCATGTGGGCAGTGATGTCTGTGCTATCCCAGGGAATGGCCAGAAGCTGCCCCTGCCTCTGGAAGGCATCATACACACCGTGCTCACGTCACCGCACTGCAAAGTGAGGCCCCCAGGGCAAGCAGGACACATGCCACTCCACCCGCAAAAGTGAGCAGCCAAGAAGCCATCGAGACACACGCCCAGGCCAGCAGCACCCGCCCACCACCCCGGCATCGGCAACCACGAAACGCTTACTTGCATCACGGCTGCTGAATGGCCAGCCCGAGGTGGGCAAGAAGGATGGTGCTGGCGAGCCAGCCCGGCTGTCAGCCTCCACCTGCTGCGTGATGTGGCGGACCGTCTCCTTGTTCTTCCGGTTCTTCCGGCGGCCTGTGGGTTGCCAGCTGTCCCCACCGCCCTGCTCCGAGAAGGCGCCCTGCAGCGCGCCATCCTTGCCCAAGGGCATCTCGTTTCCTTCATAGTGAGGTGGTGACGCCTGCTCCTCCTTGACCTGCAGAGGCGGGTAGCCCACATCCCCAGGCCACAGCGGTGGCGCAGACACATCGTCCTGGCCGTCGGCCCTTGGCTCTGGGTCTTCCTTCCCATAACTGCTCCCACCTTCATGGCAGCTGGCGATGGCTGAGTCCCCAGAGGAGTTTGCGGGGCTCGTGCGCCGTGCCAGCCACGGGGAGATGCTCCTGCCAGCCATCACCGCAGAGATGAGCGCGTCGGCACTGCTGCTGGAGGGCGCACCAATCTCAAAGTCGGCGAGCTCGTCGGAGGCATCCGCCTTGATGCTGATGTCCAGTGCCGCCTTGATGAAGTCATGGCACGCCTGCACGATGTCCGTCATCTGCAGGAAGCTGGCTGCGGACATGACCTCAATGACATTCCTGCTGGTCAGCGCCAGGTGGGCCGAGTACATGAAGTCGATGATGGCCTTGAAGCCCTGGGCTGTGACAATGTCCAGGTGGGTGACTGTGGCCTGGTCGGACGTCTTCTGCACTTGGCAGTAAAGCGTCTTGAAGTATCGACTGCTCCCAAGCAGCACGTTCTTGTGCGCCTTGAAGACCTTGCCCTCAACCACGACGCAGACGTCACACAGGACACCGTGGTGTCGTTGCTCATTGAGCTCTCGCAGCAGGTGCCGGTAGTGGGATGCGATCTCCATGTCTTCCTTCCGGTTATTCATCAGGATGCCAGGTGCCTCAGCTCCTACAGACTCTGTGGGGCGAAAACCAAAGTGTTACCCACAAACCCAGCACTACAGACACTCTGACAGGTGCCCAGAGAGTCAGCAGGGTGGGCAAGCAGACTTCAGTTGTCCCCATGGTCGCTGGCGGTAGCAGTGCATATTGGGGGACTGGTGCACATGTGACAGGGGTGGAGGTTCACACAGCCTGGACCCGGGCTATACACTGAGAAATGCCGGGGGCAGAAAGGGGGCAACCAAAGAATGAGTGGCAGCAAACACCAGATAGATGGTGGGGAGGCAGGTCCTTGAACATGTGTCATGGGACACTCCAGAGCTCGAGCCCCCACCCCAGCAATGCCTGGAACTCCACACTGTGCACACCCAGCTCCCCACTGCAAACGCACAGCTCCCCACTGCGCTCACACACAGCTCCCCACTGCGCTCACACAGCTCCACACTGAGCTCACACACAGAGCTCTATGCTGCTCTCACACACAGCTCCACAGCTCCACACTGCACTCACACACAGAGCTCCGCACTGCACTCACACACAGCTCCACACTGCGTTCACACAGCACCATACTGTGCTCACACACAGCTCCACAGTGCGTACACACACAGCTCCACACTACACTCACACACAGAGCTCCATACTACTCTCACACACAGCTCCACACTGAGCTCACACACAGCTCTGCAGTGCACTCAGACGCATCCAGCTCCCAGGCAAGAAGCAAGTCCCACAGCTGCTATATGGAAAGTGAATTTGCTCTGTAAATCTTCACCCAAATAAAAAAAAGCAAGTCCCACAAAAATAAGCAAGACAGATACCAGTCATCAGCACCACTCTCCTGCCCACATTGAAAACCGAGGTGAGATGATCCCACAGTGCTCCACACAGCACACTCCAGTAACCCCTAAAAACGTCCCAAAATCGGAGCTGGAACCAGCTCCCAAGGGGGCATGTCTGCCCAAACCTGTGGCAACCCAGGCAACCAGCCCAGCTTCTGGGGATAAGTCATGTCCCCAAAGTGTCTAAGAAGTAATTAGAACTCACAAGTGCCAGTAGTGGGCACTGTGTTAGACTCCCAGAATGCTCTGGAACGTATTCCGTTGGTCTCTGCCCTCCACCCCATGTTCCTACTAGACCTGTCACTGGAACTGTTTCTGTGTCCCTCTGTCTCTCACCGAGATGCAGTCCTGCCCCACCAATCCTTCTATGTTCCCAGCTGATGGCCAACCCACAGCATGCAACAAAATGCCAAAACAGGTCCGACAGGAGACAACCCAAAAGGTCAAGGGCACAAGGTGCATGTTCTCCCCATTGAGGTCACCCTGAGCTGCTACATGAGGTACGTGTCCTCCCCATGGAGTGCCACCTCTAACTGCTACATGAGGCCACCTTGCAGGGAGGGGACTGCTTTTGTCTTACTTCATATACATCTTTCTTTACTCAATTTCCTTACGATAAACAGTCCTTCATCAGTGCAAAATATCTTTAAGTGAATGTCTTCAAACTCCCTGCGAGAAGCAATCCTTGTCCTCTGCTGCTGCAGACCATCGCCAGCAGCCCATTCCCTCCTCCCCTCTCCCAGGGCTGGTTTACTCTGCCTGCGATGGCAGGAATTTCCCAGCCTCCCTTGCAGCTAACACACCACGTGCTTGGTGGAGACATGCCAACCCCACCTTCCACTCAGCAATCTTTCTGCTACGGACATGGCCATGATGGCAGGACAACTGCTTGAGGGTCTGAATCTCTGGAGGTTCAGTGCCACAGCACTGCGTATGCTAGGTCTTGACAACACAGCCCCTGGAACAAGCAGGGCAAGAAGCCAGGGCCACAGCCAAGGACAAGAGCAGACCCTGGCAATCAGAAATACCATTTGACCCAGCAATCCCATTACTAGGTATATATCCTAAAGAAGTGAGAGCCAGGACAAGAACAGATATATGCACACCCATGTTCATTGAAGCACTATTTATAATAGCAAAAAGATGGGAACAACCTAGGTGCCCATCAACAGAAGAATGGATAACCAAATTATGGTACATAACACAATGGAATACTATGCAACCCTAAATAATAATGCAGAATCTGTAAAACACCACATAACGTGGATGAACTTGGAGGACATTATGCTGAGTGAAGTAAGTCAAACACAGAAGGGCAAATATAGAATTAGTTCGTTATTGTAAAAAGTCAAGGAAAGGTTTATGTATGGCAGGGAACTTTCTTTGCTGGTTATCAGGAGTGGGAGGGGAGGGAACATGGAAAAAAAAAAAAGCATTGACCCATGTCTCTTTATTTTTGTATATTTCACTGTACATAAATTATATTTCAATAAAATGTATTAAAAAAAAAAAAAAAAAAGCAGACCCTGGCCCAGCAGCCTACCAGCCCAGGGTAAGGGGTGAGGATACACCCCTCATTCCAGCTCCTGCGGGTGTGGGTGTCTATGCCTGCATCTAGTATCCACAGCCCCAAAAGGTAGACAGCTGGCAGAAGGGGCTCATGGACCCTCATGGCTGGAGCCCTCAGGGCGGGCGGACCTCTGCTGAGTGCCGCTCAGCCTCAGCGGGTTGGGTGAAAGTGGCATTTAAGCAAGTTGCAGCTTGCCTCCTCCAGGCAGTGTTAAGGGGCCAGGCAACCAGAAACTGGGAGTGGCTGGAGCAACTTCAAATTCAGGAAAATGTCACCATTTAAACACAAAGCATCAACTCCATGCCTGAGTCTGTGCAGGGTATGATCTGGAGACGCTCCCAAAGCCCAGGCTGACTCTCCTCCAGGAAGTTGTACCTCTTGTTCTCATTCCCCATTGAACAAGGAGTCTCTTCACTGTCCAGTAAGACAGACCCTTTAACAGCTGGGGACAGTGGAAAGGAAACACCAGGGACATATTACAGACACAAAGGCAACCTCACAGGACTTGTGTTTCTGAAACAATTTTAATCAAATAGAAAGTTTTGAGATAAAGTATCCGGCCACAGTCACTTAAAAATCAGTTACATATTTCAGAAAGATTCTATCATAAGAAAAACAACAAAATTCTCATTGGGAAAACGATTAGTTGTATAAAAAACCAAACCAAACCCGCTGCCATTGAGTCAGTTCTGACCCACAGTGACCCTGTTGGATTTCCATGGCAGTTAATCTTTTCAGAAGTAAATTGCCCCCATCTTCCTTCTACGGAGTGGCTGGTAGGTTTGAACCACCAGCCTTCTGGTTAGCAGTAGAATGCCTTAGGCACTGCGCCACAAACAAAAAGGAAGTGAACACCTAAACAAGACCACTGTGCCGTGGACGCTGAAGAAGCCTGTCTGCCCTGCACCTGGGCTGCTCTCACAGGCTGCTTTCCTCTCCAGTCTCATGCTTTACATGTAAGATGCTCAGCTGCAGGGCAAGGGCACCGGGTGGCAGCCAGACTGGCTGGAGAGGGGCTGCCTCCCAGCTGCTTTTCAGCAGCTGAGTTCTAAAATTGGGAACATCCCGGACAGTGTCCCACAGCAGCTTGACAAGCAGGAGACAGATGTGAGAAGAAAGCAGGCTGATGGCACTTTTCATGGAGGAATCGATGAAGGACCCCTTAACCTGCCCCTGGGAGAGCCTACAGTCTAATGAACACACACCCACTCACAGACGCACACCCGCCCACAGACACACTCCCACTCACAGACACACACCTGCCCACGGACGCACACCTGCTCACAGATGCACACTCGCCCACGGACACACACCTGCTCACAGACACACACCTGCCCATGGACGCATACCTGCTCACAGGTGCACACCTGCCCATGGACACACACCCGCTCACAGGTGCACACCTGCCCATGGACACACACCCGCTCACAGGTGCACACCTGCCCATGGACGCACACCCGCTCACACACACCTGCCCATGGACACACACCTGCTAACAGATGCACACCTACTCACAGATGCACACCCGCCCACGGATGCACACTCACTCACAGATGCACACCTGCCCATGGACGCACACCCACTCATGAATGCACACCTGCCCATGGACGCACACCTGCTCACACACACCTGACCATGGAAACACACCTGCTAACAGATGCACACCTGCTCACAGACACACACCCGCTCACAGACACACACCTGCCCATGGACACACACCCATTCACAGATGCACAACTACCCATGGACACACACTCGTTCACAGACACACACCTGCCCATGGACACACACCCACTCACAGATGCACACTTGCCCATGGACACACACCTGCTAACAGATGCACACCTGCTCACAGACGCACACCTGCTCACAGACACACACCTGCCCATGAACACACACCCGCCCATAGACACTCACTCACAAATGCACACATGCCCACAGACACACACCTGCTCACACATACTTGCCCACAGACACACTTCTGCTCATAGATGCACACCTGCTCATGGACACACACCTGCCCATGGACACACATCTCCTCACAGACACACCTGCTCACAGACACACACCTGCCCATGGACATACATCTCCTCACAGACACACTTGCTCACACACACCTGCTCACAGACACACACCTGCCCATGGACACACACCT